TGAGACTCCCTTGGGTAATGAAGGGCCATGGGGTATACATCCAATCTCCTCCTCCTCCACCCTGCTGCTGAACTCACACGTCTGCTAAACTCGCCTGTTTATTCCCTCGTTCCGGACACTTTGTCACTGGAGCTGGGACCCTTCTGCACTGGAGTGGGGCCTGCTGCCTCGCAGAGCCGATGTCATTCATTCTTATCACTACAGGGAAAGGCCCAGATGAGGTGAGACATAGGCAACTACGTGCCTTTATTCACATGTTCTCCCTATATTTGTGTGTGCGCTTTACCTGACACGGAGCAGGCAAGTGAGGCATTCTAAAGACACCTCCGGCCCTGACATGCTCCACCGTCTGAAAGGGCTGGAGCACCTGTCCTGTGAGGAGAAGCTCAAGCCTTCTAGTTTATAAAAATTACAGCTAAGGTGGGGGATTCACGGGGCTTATAAAATGGCACATAAGATGGAAGACAGAGATGGAGAGAACTTCTTCTCCCCTTTCCATAACGCTAGAAACTTGGGGACTCCTAATTAAACTAACAGGAAGTAGATTCAGGTCAGACTTCTTGACTCAAGAACTGGTCAAATTGTGAAATTCATTGGCAGGGACCTAATGATGGAATCATGGATGTGAGGTCCATCCGTGGTTACTATCCATGGTGACTAAAGTGAACCTCCAAAAGTCTGTGACAGTGGCCCTTTCAGTAGCCCCTAGTGCCAGCAGGCAATAGCAGGGGAAGGCCTCGGCCTCTCTGCTAGGTTTGTTGGCCCTCCACAGCTGCCGCCTGTCATGAAACACAACCCGGGAGCAGACGGACCCCACTGGTCTGATCCAGGAGGGCCCCTTTTACTTCCTTGCCCCCAGGCTGGAGGGGAAAACCCGCTTGGCACAAGAGCTTGGCAAAATAAGGCAGGGGAGCTCGACCTTCCTTCATCTCCTATGAAGACAGAAGCAAAACAGATCTCACTCTGTGCTGGGAAGGGGCTGTGGCTCAGTGGAAGAGCCTCTGCGTGGTGTGGCATGCAGGAGGTTGCAGGGTCGGACCAGGGAGGAGGAGGTGGTGCGAAAGACCTCTTCCCGAGACCCTGCAGAGCCCCTGCCCCTCAGGGTGGCCAGCACTGAGCAGACCCAGCAGGGAAGGCCTGGCAGCCCCTGAAGCAGCGCATTCCTCCCTCGGGCATGGCTCCCTGCCACCTCTCCACTGAACCCCCCAACAGAGACCCGGAGTGGGTGGGGAGGTCGCGGGAGGAGCAGGAGGAGCACGCCTGCCTGGCAGCCCGCCAGCCCCCCCCCCTGCCTGCCCCCCTCCCCTTAGCTCAGCTCAGCTCTGCAGCCGGCTCCCCCAAGGGCACTGCGGGCTGCCGCCAGGCCCTCCTCCTCCTCGTTGCTAGGCAGATCGCCTCCGCCTTGCCTCTCGTTGCCATAGTAGCCGCTGTTCAGGCAGAAGCAGAAGCAGAAGAGAGCTGCCAGCACAAGCCGGCCCATCAGTATGGCAAACCACACCGATGTTGGCCTCCTTGGGCCAACAAGGGCCACAGATGACCCTGCCGCTCTGTGTGTGTGTGTCCGTGGGGCAAGGCTTTCCCTTGGCCCCGGGCACTGGGGAGCCCAGCATTAAGGAACGGGGGGGGGGGGGAAAGCTTGGCCCCCCCATTGCAGCATCCCCCCCCCAACTGTTTGCTGGGGGGCCTGGAAGGGCCACAGGCAGAGGCGGAGGCAGCCCTGCCCCTCCCAGCCCAGCGGGGGCACCGGAAGCGGCCCTTGGCCCCTCCTGCCTCCAGAGTCCTCTAAGCCCCAGGCTGCCACCCGGCCCAAGGGCAGAGAGGACCGCCAGCCACTGACCTTCTAGAGTGCTGTCGGAGGGGGGAGAAGGGGGCGAGGGCGCACGTGGCTAGACAGCCCCCCCGGGGGGGGAGGAGAGCCCCTTGGCTCCTTCCTCCCTCTCCACATCTGCGCTGCCCTCTGCCCCAGTCCCTTTCCCTATCTGTCTGCGGACCCTGCAGGCAAGGAGAGAAGTCTTGCCTGGGGTCACCTCTCAGTAGCCACACACAGAGGTCATTTCGGGGGGGATCGCAGTTCTCCCGGGTGAGGTACGAGGGGTGGGGCACATGACGAAGCCCCGCCCCCTGCTTCCGGCCGCCCCGCTTCCAGCCCTCATTCGGCCAGGAGGAGGCAGGAGAAGAGGGAGGGTAAGTTGCTTCCTCCCTGCCTCTCCCCACCCCTGCCTGCCTGCCTGGTGCCAGGGAGGGCCTTCCTTCGTGGGGCTTCCTTGCACTCCCGCCGGCCTTGCAGGTCCACCGCCGGGCCCCTCATGGGGCTCGGCAGTGGAGCTGGCAGCGGCGGCGGCCGGGACCGTTGGGGGCGGGGTGTGTGGCCTTATGACACGCTTCCGGTGATGTCAGGGGGTGTGGCCTCATGACACACTTCCGGTGATGTCAGGGGGTGTGGCATATGCTAATGAGTTCCCCTAGCTCTTTTTCTACGAAACGACCCCTGGCCACACACACGCTGTTTAAGGCGCACGGTCCTCGGGAGACGGCTGCCGCCAGTGGTGCGCCCATCTATTCTGTGCTGCACTGTGGCGCAGACAAACACGCAAACGTGGCCAGTGTTTCTCAGGAGGAGGAGGAGGTGCCGGCGCCCCAGACTCCTCCTGCCTCGGCGGCCACGGGTGAGAGACGGCTTTGAGGTTCAGGGTTAGGGTTTGGAACACACACACACACAGAGAGAGAGAG